CACAAGGTGTCTAGCTGAAAGAGCCGATAAAGAAAACATGCATGCTCAAAATGAAGCTACTGAGATGATATAAAGCATGAAAACTTATTCTTTAAACTTTCAATGGAAGAAAATGTGCTTAGATTAACTAATTTAAAATAATTATCATCATCAATAAAATAATTCAAAATCTAAATCAAATCAGAACTTGGAAAATTGCTTCAATTAATTGATCAATAAATGGAATAAATCCAAATCGAAATTGAAACAAAAGAATCAAAGTTAGAAATCAAAAATTACGACGAGGAAATTCAAATTCTATCGAAAAATCATATAGGAAATTTTAATTACAATATACCAAAACCACAAACTTACAAGGAAAAAGACTTAGCTCTTATTTAATTAATCCAGGAATCAATTGAATCTTAGTCCAAATCATAAAATTTTATCTAAATTATGGAATCCATAAATTTAATAAGATCTAGTGAATCAATTAATCAATAAGCAAGTATTAACCAAATACCTACAAAAGAATTTGATTAACATGTAATTTATGCTAATAATATTAGAAAACTCCTTGTCTTAATTAGATATGTAATAAGCATAACAAAGAAATAATTATGATAAATATTAATTATAACGAACCTAAATTTGGTCGATTAGCTTGTGTGGAATGTATTCAAGAAAATCCGATATAATACGTTAGCTTAAAAGAGGCGAATAACATGTGGAATACCTTTATTGGATAATCAGAAGATTTAATTTCTAAACATAATTGTAGAAGAGAATAAATGTTTAAATAGGTAATAGAAGAAATTAAATAACTAAAAGATAATTATAACCACTCATTATCAGAAATGTTATCTTCTATAGATGAACAGTTTGCAAAAAATAATTAAGAGATTTAAGATTTCCTTAAATAAGAGAATAAATAAATATTTGAATTAGATGAAAAATCAGTTGAAATGATGATTGACTTATTAAGCTAATAAGATAAAAATAAACATATACTTTAGCAATAAGATAAACAAGATAGACTTGATTAATTATTTTATCAGAATGTCAAATCAAAATTAGAAACCCTTATCAAACATGATTTACTTTGCAAATAGTAATTGATGGTGATTTTATAAGAATAGCAAAGTATATTAATTTTAATTATTTTAGATACTAAAAACATAGGAAATAATGTTCAAACTGATATTAAAATTAGTCCTGAAATAAATGAATTTATGTCTAAATGTTAACTTCAGGAATAATACTTAAAAATATTTACTGAATCAGCTAATTTTAAAAAAGAATTATAGAAAGAAGCGTCTCAACTTGAGTAAAATGGCGTTCTTTAATAATATATTGTATTGGAAGAAAAAAATGATACTGAAGATTCTAAATGTAATATATTTAAATAAAAATATAAATAATATGAAATAAATACAGAAAAAATGAGGAAATTGATAGAAGATGATGAAAATGAGAAATAATTAATGTTGATTAAAAAATAAAAAGAAGATTTGAAAATAAAAATTGATGGGGTAAAGTAAGAAATTAAAAAAATTTAAGAAAAAATTGTTGAGTT